ACTAAGGGTTGGAACCTGATATTGTTAGGAGCCCAAGCAGTGATGGGAAGACCCGTCGGGAAGTGAGGTTTCACGGGTAGGTAGCAGACCAGAACCCACACACCTGCCGTCACCCACCTCGTTCTGAGGGTGCTTTTCGGAGTGAACGCAGCCAAGACGACTAGGGAGCTACCACATTGCCACCTCTCAGGTAGCTCACTCCAGAGAGCTAACTGAGTAAGGGGAACTCAACTCCTCCAGAGGTTCCGGATCTCCACTTCTCAAGACCCAGGGTCGTTTTCCAGAGTCACAAGCTCTGAGGTCCCGAGATTTTTGAAGATGCAGTTGAAGGCTGGGGATGCAGCTCAGACAGTAGAACACTCGGGGAGGACACACAAAAGCTCTGGGTTCTATCCCCAGCACCAAGTAAGCCAGTCTTGGTGCCTCCAATTCCAGCATTCAGGAGATGGAGGAGATCTTTAGTTTCTTGAATCCCAAAGCATGTGCGTTCTACTCCAGGAATTCAGAAATCCACTGATAACAGGGATTGACGACATTTTGGTTTTTGCAATTTTTTTTTTCTGTCAAGGCTCAGTTAGTAAATGCTAAGTTTGAAGAGTCAGACAGTACCACAGCTACACAGTTCTGCCACTGGAGCAGCAAACAGAAGTTGACACTGTGGATGACTGGCTGGGGTTGTGCCAATAAAACTTTATTTATAAAAGTCACTCAGTTGGATTTGGTCCACAGGTCCTAATGACCAACCTCTCTAGTCTTGCAGGTGAGAGTTATAAAAATGAGGCTTTTGAGGAAGGGGCCAGGGGGGTGCGTGCATGTATGTGCATACCTTATTATGAATCAAAGCCTCACTGTATAGCCCAGACCAGCCTTGAACTTGAAATTCGCCCACCCACCTCAGCCTTTCCAATGCTGGGATTACAGGCAAGCATTACCCTGCCAGATCTGGAATCTAGACTATTCCAGATGGAGGAATTTGCATGATTCGAGATAGGGTGGAGATTTATAACAGTTCTGGTCTACCAGAGGAGGAAAAAAAATTGGGGGGGGGGAGACTTCAGAATCCTGGGGTTCTAGAGGGAAAGGTTCTGGTGGTGTGATTCTGTTGCTATTTGCTGAGCATTTTGTTTCGACAAAATCTATGTGCCCTGACTGTCTTAGAACTCACTATGTAGACCAGGGTGGCTTGAACTCACAGAGATCCACCTGCCTCTGCCTCCTGATCCATGAGATAAATTCTTTTATATTTACTTGGATACAAGAGGGTCCCACGGCATGGGGGTGGTGGTCAGAGAACAACCCGAAGGGGTTGGGGCTCTCCTTCCTCTCTCTGGTCCTGGGGATCAAATCCAGATGATCGTGAATGGTGACAATTGCCTTTATCCATTGAGCCATCTTATCAGCCCTTGTGAGGTTTGGCAGGCTCATTCCAAGAGTGAAGATTCTACCAGTCAGGGGCTGTATAGAAGGTCTCCCAGCACCTGCGCTTGGATGCTCTGAGACCTCGAAGCCATGGGACTCAAGGGTTGGTGTACATAAGTCTGCCGAACACCAAGCCACGAAACCGGCATGCGAGTCTCTGAATGTTAGGGTTCATGCCGGCAAAGTTTTTTGTTTGTTTGTTTGTTTGATTTTTGATTTTTGGGTTTTTTTTTCCCAAGACAAGGCTTCTCTGGTTAACAGTCCTGGCTCTCCTGGAACTTGCCTTGTAGACCAAGCTGGCCTTAAACTCACTGAGATCCACTTGCCTCTCTGCCTCCCAAGTGCTGGGACTAAAGGTGTGCACCACCACTGCCCGGCTTCAAAGTTTTGTTTTTGTTTTTACAAACACATATTTCAGGCTGGGTGAGAGTTGTCCAGGTAGGAGGATCAGGAGTGCAAGGTCAGCTGTGGCTACATAGTGAGTTCAACACCAGCGTGGGGTACATGAAACCCTATCTCAAAATAAATTGACAATGGCGTTTCTAAATCTCTGGAGGGATTCAACCCCGGTCAGGTCCTAGCACATTCTAGATTTCTCTGCTTTCAGAGTCCAGGTTGGAGACCAGCTGGAGACCGTCTTTCTCCTGAGTGGGAATGATCCAGCCATCCATCTCTACAAGGAGGTGAGGTGGGCAGGCTGGGCACTGTCTGGCAGAGATCCCCACTGCTCAGGGGACTGTTGACTTACTCCAGAGCCTGGGGTGGGTCTCGTTCTCCCAGAATGAGGAACTACATCAATTTGAGGAGCAGCCCGTGGAAAACCTCTTCCCAGAGCTCACGAACCTGACTAGTAGGTAGGAGGGGACCCCACCTACCTCCTATCCTGCACCCAAAGAAGGGACCAGGGCCCTGACTGCAGAGAAGCCAGATAGATCTGGTCACCCTCTAGTACAATACACAGTAAGGGCGACCTTAGAGGAACTAGGAAGCATGTTGGGGTGTCACTCAGTTGGTAGAACGCTTGCCTAGCATGTTCAAAGCCCCGGGATTCCATAACGCAGGGCACCACAAAATCCAGGCACCTCTAACCATAGCACTCAGGTGGTAGAGACAAGAGGGTCAGGAGTTGAAATTCATCCTTGACTGTAACGTGACTTTGAAGCTAGCCTGGGCTACAACTGTCGAAAAAAGAAAGAAGGCAGCTAGGTAGCATGTTCTCAAGAAAATTGCTCATGGGCGGATGTCCCCAGGGCAAGCACAGTGGGGCTCAGTGTGCTGGAGTGGTAGTGACTGGTCCCCCCAGAGAATCAGGCTGCAGGGTCCTGATGCTTCAGGATGGGGCAGGGTGCCCCTGGGAAGCAGAGATGGGGCTGGTGCTCTGCGGTGTCTACCGTCTGTCGTCCCCCTCCCCATCCATTGTGCTCCCACCAGTGTCCTCTGGCTTGATGTCCGAAACCTGCCTGGCTCATCCCGGCGGCTCTCAGCTCTGGGCTGCCAGAGTGGTTACGTGCGCGTGGCTCACGTCGACCAGAAGAATCGAGGTGAGGATCGGGCCTGGGGAGGGTGGGGACAAGCCCAGGGATGGGGACAGACCCCTGAGCCCCTGCTCTCCACAGAGATCTTGCAGACATGGACAGTTCTGCAGGATGGGCCCATCTCCCGAGTGATCGTGTTCAGCCTGTCCAGCCCCGACGGTGAGCTCTTTGCGCGAGGCCTGGAGAGGGACTCTGCGGGCTCAGCTTTCCCCACCCAGAGAGTCCACACTCCCGCTCCTCCCGGGGAGCCCCTCCAGCCCATAAGCCCTGCCGCAGATGGGACTCTGGTCATTTCTTTTAGCTCATTCTCCGCTCTGTGGTCTAGCCTTGAACTTTTACTCTGCTTTCACCTTCCCCTTTGTGGTCTAACCTTCATTCCTCATGTTACCTTATACAGCTCCCCAGCCCCACCCCCCCCCC